AAATATACAAGAGGCCCATGTCATGACTTGTATGTTAGGGGAACCTTTACAGGGGGTCATTATTTTTTTTAGTTTAGGAGGCTAGCCATCTTCTGGGTTCTTTACTGAGGCCATTGTTTTTAATAAGCTGCCCTGAATAAGACTATGATTTTTTCTTTATTGGGTGTAAATCTAAAAACAGATTATGGAAGCTGCAGTTCTATTGTCTGAATCCATTACAAGCCTTCTCATTCTACCCAAACATTATGTGGCTGTCCGATCACAGACTTCCCAATGTAGCTCAAAAAGAAGTCTTTGCAAGGCATGTGCTCTGAGCAATTGCTGCCTCTTGTGTTTAGCTCCAAAGATCTAAACAAACCAGGAAGTAACTGGATCTGTTGTCTGTTAAGAGTCAGGGGGGTGTAACAAAGTTTATTCATGAAAGTACCACATTTTATTGAAATCTGCACTTTTTGTACAATTAAGAAATAAGGAAACACAGAAAACATTTCAGCAATTTAAAGTGCTTTAAGGGTGTAGTGTAGCCTTTAATCTATACACTCATTGTAGTAGTAGGGTGTCTGAAAGCATAGTGGTTAGGGTAATTTATTTTTCCTTTTCATGTTCCATGGTTTTATTTTGTGAACATATTTTTTTTTTTTTTTTGCAATAAGCTATTTTAACTTATTATATTTGTGAGATGTATTATTATTTTGTATTATCATTAAATGTAGTATCTTTATTTTTTAAATTGCATTATCAATCAGTTTCTACATCTGTTTTAAATACTGTAAGCAATTAAGTAGAAACACGCATCACTAATTTGTAAAATGATTTCCTCTAATGGTCGGATGTAATAATGATTTAGCACAAATTACTACTAATTTCTCTAAACAATTAAGTCCTTACAAGTAATTCTGACCCCATTACAAATCTTTCCTGGTAGTTTCGCATTTACTGAGGAAGTTACATTTTAAGTGAATGATTTGCACGAGGTTTAAGTATTATCTTACAGTGATATCAATGAAGGTTTAAGTGTTGAATTATTTAGCATATTTAACAAATGCAGTAATAATCTGTTTGCACTAAAGACTTCAATACAGAAATGTAAACATTGTTAAAAACAACACCATATGGTCTGAACGAACAGTAAATGATAAATGATTGCATTGATTATCACTTGGGAGCATTTAAATGATTACAAAGTCTATAATAAGATGATGGTTCTATTCACTAAACAATGTGTTGTGATGAAATGTAAATTTTTTTGAAAAAGTCAAAATATAAAGGCTGGAAAAAATAAATACATCTGCTGCATTTTACAGTTCTGTTATTTCCTCACGACGTGCTAAATTCAGTAATATATTTATCACAACTCACTGTTTAGTGAATAAATTCCACTGTCCAGGTACTCTCCAATAGTGACACAATATTAAAGGTATTATTAGGATTATGAGCATCTTGAATTCTAGAAGCACAACAAAAGACAAACAGAAAAAAATAAATACAGAGAAAGGAATGAATTATTATGCCTGGATCACAGCACACACTTTGCTCCTGGATGAACATTTTTTATAGCGTGAAAATAAGAACAGTTAAGTATCCAACTGTTTATATTCCTGCAGTTTGTGAGCTTAGGAGCCACAGGAAGGATTTGTCTACCCAATGTTGCCATGTGACAAATGTGGCAAACCAGAGTAAAGCCAGAAACATTTCATTTCCAAAGTATGATAAACTGAATATCCTGTCGCACTATTATTTTTTATTTTTTTTTATGGATAATCAAACAGTGACTACAACTTTTAAAGGATTGTATTAAGTACTATTCTTTAATAACAGCACTGGGACTCAGAATTCTATAGACTCAATTAGGAAATGCTGTCTGCATTAAAAAAAAAACAACCCGGCCACTGCAAAATATATTTGTTTTTGGAACATACCAGTGGTATATCGAGCAAATTATGTGGACATTATGTGTTGGCCTCATTAATATGCTGTATTTTTTTTTCTGTATAGTTTTTGCACAAAAATTGTTTATGAAAAATTAGAAATTTAACATTATTATTTTACCCTTATATATTTAATGCATTAAAATAGGTAAAAACAATTGATCCAAGATAAGAAAGGGGAAAATCATATTCTGCCATTTGCATTAAAGGCTTTTAAATCAGCAATCAAGATGCCCAAGAAACTGTCAAATGTTAGTACTAACCTAATCAGCTTCCTACTTATTTAGACCAGATACCGAGCTCCTAGGTCTCAGAAATATATTGGGGGGCTTATAGATACCTATTATATAAAATGATGTGCAGTTA